TTGGTGGCTGAACCGCAATCTGTTCCACCAACCCAAAAGAAGAAATCAGGAAAACTCCATGGACGACGTATAAACCCGTTATCTCTACCCTTATTGGGAGCGGGAATTCGTAAAAGAAAACTTACGAAAGGTGCTTCTTCTTCCCGCCTGAAAACGGCTAGAAACACTACAACTATCCCTCTTAATGAGGAGAACAATGCCAGAGAGGACTCTTCCAAGATAAGACTGAGGACTGGTCGCAATAATGTACCCTCATCAAGCAGACCACCACGCAGGGGAAGTTCAACATCTGACCCAAAAAGAAGAACACATAAGCCGGATTTTCAAGATCCGGGCTCTCCTCTTCCTTAAAAATTGTCGCATGGAACTGCCAAGGGCTGGGGAACCCTTGGACAGTTCAGAGACTACAAGAGATCTGCAAAAAATATGATCCAGATGTTATTTTTCTCTCGGAAACAAAAAAATCCCCATTCTGTGGTGGCAAAGAAAACTGATAAGTTAGGTTATGCAAACCTTAAAACGGTCCCACCACATGGTGTTGCTGGAGGAGGACTGGCTATCCTATGGAAAGAGTGGCTCCAATTAGACATCATCTCTTCTTGTAACAATTACTTTGATACTCGAATTCTCTATGAAGAAAATGTTTCATATGCCTCCTTTATCTATGGAAACACTGATAAGCGCAGAAGAAAACAAACATGGGACTATCTCACCTCATTAGCTCTGATCAGAGACACTGCGTGGCTTGTCACATGGGACTTCAACGACATCACAGGGAACCACGAAAAGGAGGGAGGAGTAGAAAGATCTGAAGCCTCCTTCTCTGACTTCAGAACATTCCTTTCAGAGGGCGACCTATACGATCTCCAGCATAGCGGTGAATGTCTCTCGTGGAAGGGGAAAAGAAGAAAACACGATGTCAAATGCAGACTGGATAGGTCACTCTCTAACAGCTCATGGTCGGAATTGTATCCCTCAGGCAGATGCGAGTACTTAAACTTTGATAGCTCAGACCACAGACCAGTTGTTACCTTCTTTGAACCTCTACGCACAAAGAAAAAATGCATTTTTAGATTCGATCGAAGACTAAATAAAAACTCAGAGGTGACAAAGATTGTGGAAGAAGCGTGGCTCCAAAACTCTCACCTGAAGGTTAAACAAAAGATTGATAGCTGCCGTACCGCTATTATCAAGTGGTCTAAGCACCAAAGGGAGATAAACAGAGCACATCTAGAGCAGCTTAAGAGGAGAATAGAAGAACAAACAGTCTCGAGGACCCCTATTGTTGGGCTTTTGGAGACACTACAGAAAGAGTTGCTGGATGCTTACAAGACTGAAGAAGACTTCTGGAAACAACGTAGTAGACAGCTCTGGCTACACCTGGGAGACAAAAACACCGGCTTCTTCCATGCCTCTACAAAAAAGAGGAAAGCTATAAACAAATTTGCGGTTATTGAAACTGAAGAAGGACTTCCGGTGTATAAAGAAGAAGAAATAGCGGCCACAATTGAGACATACTTCTGTAAGCTATTTAATCCAAATGAGGTTAACTTAGAAGATATGAGGGAAATTGTTACGGAAGCAATATTACCCAGAGTCACGGCGGAGCAAAACGTGGAACTCACTAAGATCCCATCAGGAGAGGAAATAAAAGCAGCTTTATTTTCCATTCACCCTGAAAAATCCCCTGGCCCTGATGGGTTTTCGGCCTGTTTCTTCCAATCCAATTGGTCAGTGGTGGGAAGAGATATCATCGAGGAAGTCCACAGCTTCTTCCAATCCGGCTGTATGCCGAGAACCATAAATGAAACACATATCAGATTAATACCAAAGGGAGTAGGAGCTAAGAGAACAGCAGACTATAGACCTATAGCGTTGTGTAATGTTTATTACAAAACAATCTCAAAGCTCATCTCCAAAAGACTGCAACCAATTCTCCAATCCCTCATTTCCGAGACTCAGTCTGCATTTGTACCAAAAAGAGAAATATCAGATAACGTGCTCATCACGCATGAAGTGCTTCATTACTTAACAAACTCAAAAGCAGAGAAGCAATACTCAATGGCTATCAAAACTGATATGAGTAAAGCCTATGACAGGCTAGAGTGGTGTTTTATTGAGACTGTTCTGGAGAAAATGAATTTCCATCCTACCGTAATATCATGGATCATGCAATGCATCACTACGGTTAGCTACACATTTATCATTAATGGAGCTACTAGGGGATATGTAAAACCAGGAAGGGGAATTAGACAGGGTGACCCTCTGTCCCCATACCTGTTCATTCTCTGCAGCGAAGTCCTAACCGGGTTATGTACTAATGCGAAAAACAGAGGACTACTCAGGGGAGTATCAGTTGCAACCCACAGCCCATGCCTTAGCCATCTCTTATTTGCGGACGACACCATGTTTTTCTGCAAAGCGAATAAGAAGAATGCTGAAACACTTAAAGCTATTCTTGAAACCTATGAGAAAGTTTCAGGCCAACTCATCAACAACCAGAAGTCTTCAATCTTCTTCTCTAAGCTTACCTCTGCACCTGCGAGGGCTCTTATGAAGTCAATACTTGGTATTGATAAAGAAGGTGGAATGGGCAAATACTTAGGATTACCTGAGCTCTTTGGCAGGAAAAAGAAAGACTTATTTGCTTCTGTTGTTGACCGTATCAAGCAGAGAGCATCTAGTTGGTCTACAAAATTCTTATCTAGTGCTGGGAAGATAATTATGTTGAAGAGTGTCTTGGCGCCAATGCCCTCCCACACGATGTCCTGCTTCAAAATTCCACAATCGTTAAGCCAGAGCATTCAATCCTCTCTAACTAGATTCTGGTGGGACTCAGAACCTGAAAAGAGGAAAATATCGTGGATCTCATGGGATACAATGGCTAAACCAAAGAGAAAAGGAGGACTTGGCTTCAAAGAAATTACCTTCTTTAATGATGCTCTTCTGGGAAAAATTGGGTGGAGAATTATTAGGAACCCAAACTGTCTTCTGGCCAAAGTCCTTCTCGGAAAATACTGCCACTCGAAACCTTTCCTCAAGTGTGATACTCCATCGAATGCCTCCCACGGTTGGAGAAGCATCCTAATAGGTAGAGACCTTCTACTAAAGCAAATAGGATGGATGGTAGGAACGGGAGAATCGATCAATGTCTGGGATGACCCTTGGCTCTCCCACAACGAGCAACTCAGACCCTTTGGACCATCACCTGAAGCCATCCAGAACCTCAAAGTCTCAGACTTATTTTTGCCAAACTCATCAGATTGGGATGTTGAAAAGATTAACTTGTATCTCCCTTTCCACAAAGACCAGATCCTAAGGATAAAACCCAGCAAACAGAGAGTCCCTGACGAGCTAGCTTGGCTTTAAAACTCTTCAGGTGATTACTCTATGAAATCGGGGTACCTGGCATTAACTGAGGAGAGGGCTGCTGCTAACTCCACAGGCCAAGCTGAGGGTACAGACTGGCTCGCCAATGTCTGGAACATAAAAACATCAGAAAAGGTTAAGGTCTTTATATGGAAATCCCTACAGAATGCATTACCAGTAGGAGAACAATTTGCCATTCGCAACATACCGGTTTCTACTCTCTGCAAAAGATGTAACGCAGAAGAATCAATCACACACCTTCTATTCCATTGTCCCTTTGCTGTCAAAGTCTGGGAGCTGGCTCCAGTAGCGTTAAGGACTAATCTAACCTCTTGTACTTCCTTCCGCGAGGGATGGGAAAAGTTGAGAAAATCCCACTCCCTCCCACCGGTGGGACTAGAAGCAGGAACACTTCCATCTTGGATCATTTGGACTCTCTGGCTAGCAAGAAACCAACTTATATTCGAAAACAGGAACTTTACCCCTGAAGAAACAATGCTAAAAGCTACTACAGACGCCAGAGAATGGATGCTGGCTCAGATTCCCTCAACCCCCAAATCTCAGATACAGATGATCGTAATGGAACCAAACCCTAGACGGATCGGGCAATACCCCGTCTACACGGATGCAGCGTGGAATCCCACTACGGGAGATGCAGGACTTGGTTGGATCATTGATGATCTTGTCTCTCCATCCCAACACTCAGCGACTTCGACCTTTGTCAGCTCGCCCCTTATGGCAGAATCTTTGGCGGTACTCGCAGCCATGAACTTTGCCCTCTTTATAAATCTCGACACGATTGCTATATTCTCTGATTCTCAGATCCTCATGAACACAATCAACAAGAAAGAGATGAAGTTGGAAATTTATGGCGTTCTAAGGGATATCTACCACCTCTTGCTTTCATTTAAGTCTATTTCCTTCAGTTTCATCAAAAGATCGGCCAATGTTAGGGCCGATTCTGTAGCAAAACAAGCTCTTTGGGCCATTGGCCCAGTTTAAGTTTAATTGAATCAAAGTTTGAACAAAAAAAAAAAATCAATATGCAAACAAATGGCTCCAGTTGATAACTTAATGATGATTGATGAGTGATGAATGATGAGATGAAAACGACTCGACGGTGAACCAATATTTTATAATCATTATTTAAGATTCGTATTCAAATTTCGATCAAAACACCTATTTTTTCTTTCCCCAAATATTACTCAAGTCCAGTCAAAATATTAATTTTTTACATAAAGACTAAGAAAATATCTAAATTTGTTACCTTTTCTAGTTAGAATATTAATAATATTTAACATTAAAATACAAATGTTATATTATATAAATATTATAACTTTACATTAAAAGTTAAACACATTGTCTAATTTGATATAGAAATTTCTCTAAAACATAAGTACAACGAAACGAGATGAGTATTAATGGCACCATCTTCTTTTTACGTTATAGTTGCACCATACATCTAAAACTTAGTCATCAATAAACTGAAAGCCAACATCATTTTTTTCAAATAAAAGTTGATGACACGAAAGGAGCAAAAAATAACATTACATTCATAGTTCAGACACAAGCACAATTTGCACATATCACATCTTTGATTAAACAAATCATCGTATGAGATACAGACATATTCAGTGTTTGCCATTTTGCTTTAACCCTTTTTGGTGGTCTTTCCACTTCAATGTCACAAGACTAAGTGCCTTTGTAGAAGACCCATCATCACTCAGCACCCTACTAGCTCCTTCCTTCATCTCCTTCATTTTATTCCTCACACTTTTACCTTCTTCACCTTCCATTAATTCCTTAACCACTCTAGCAACCTCTTCTCTTCTCACCATCCCATCCTCCCCCACACGAGCCCTAAGTGCAACATGGATATCTCCAGCCAACAAAACAGCATTCATCTTCTGCTCAGCGTATAATGGCCATGCAATAAGTGGAACACCACTTACTATACTTTCAAGAGTTGAGTTCCATCCACAATGAGTCAAAAACCCTCGGCTTGATGGATGAGCTAAAATCTGGGCTTGTGGAGCCCATGAAGGGACCATAAAACCTCTATCTTTAGTCTGTTCCAAGAAACCATGCGGCAAAAATGTCAATGGGTCGGCTTCACGATGCAAACTAAAAAATGAAGCATCAACAACTTGACTTGGGCTCCGTATGACCCAAAGAAACCGTTGCTCACTGTCTTCAAGACCAAGAGCTAACTCCTTGAGCTGCTCAAGCGTGAGTGCACCACCACTCCCAAATGAAACATACAAAACCGAACCGCGCGGTTGTTTACCCAACCACTTCAAACACTCAGAATACTCTTCGACCCCATTACTACCCTCTTGCTTACCAATGTTAACCAACGGGCCGATTGGATAAACCGGTGGTTTGTCAAGACCCGGTTCTTGCAAGGCCTTTAAAGCATTTGTCTCTAGCTCGAGAAAGGTATTAACAAGAATCCCTTCGGCTTCTTTGTACCTATTGGCGTTGTGGAGAAGACATTTGTACACGTCATGTTTCCGATCTCTAGCCGGGTCAGGAACATCTTTTCCAGCGAACGGTACACACCCGGGGAGCTGAACCGGTTCGGTTAACTCACTAAACTCACACGACATCGTTTCATCAAGTTTAGGAAGATGGAGAAAGAACGACAAGACGTTGGCCGTTGATGGGAATAAAATATACGGAGACACGTGGAACTCCACGGCTACGTCGAAAGCATCAGTGCCGAACAGGTCTACCAAGAGCACCGTCGGCAAACGTCCTTCCGCCACGAAAGACTCAAAGACACACCGGAGCTCCGGGTTGGAACGACTCACGGTGAGGGAGATACGAGTTTCTATTCGAGTGGTCGGAGGGAGATCGGTAAGGTCAACGGGAGGGAGAAAGACGGAGGAGATGGAAGAAGGGAGAGAGTCGAGGACAGTTCTCTGAGACTTTGAAGGTGGACCTTCGCCCATGACGAGAAAGGTTACCGAGAAGCCGTGGCGGTGAACGAGTTGGTTAGCGAACTGGACGAGTGGGATGAGGTGACCCATTCCAGGACTCGGAAGGATGGCGACGTGTGGCGCTTTTGTTTCCTCCATTGATGCTTAACGTTTTTAGTTTTATGTAATTGATGAGGTATACTGAGGGGTATAATGGCTTTATATAGAGAGTTCGTGTGTGTTATTAACATGAGGAAATTATATTTTTTTTCATATATATGTATATATTTATTTTACAGTTTGGAAAATGTATCTATAAATTATGTCCCTTGGGGACTTCAATGATATTGGACCAATGCGGAAGAAATTAACCACACATAGGTGATATATTGGTAGGTAGACTTTAGTAAAGTAAGCAAATCGTTTTCCAAATAATTTCAGGACAGTAAACATGTGAGTTCATGCTGATATCTCAGATTAATCAAAATAAATATTTGATTATTTAAGAAAATAGTAAAAGTCAGAAATTGTAGATTTCATATATATCTAGTTTCTGGCATACATAAAAATACATTTGGTATCAAAATATATGCTGAAATTATGGAATGCATCAAAGGAAAAAGCAACAATACAAAATGGAAGAAGTTGTCTTTTTGTTGTATGACTATATTCGTCAAATCGTTGAAAATTGGTGTTTCCAATCTTTATTTCGTATGGTTGAATCAATATATTAGATTCTAAACCAGAGAGTATCTATAGATCTAAACTGGAATATGACCAATGTAATACAATAAAGAGAAATGCTAAGAAAAATTTGGAATATCATCGATTGTATGATTGCTGAATGTAGTTGCATCGGAAATCTATTATCGAAGAAGATGGTTCAAAAGAAATCTTTTTCAAATTTTATTTTATATATTGTATTGTATTTTCTTTATTTTAAATTTGCAGTTGTTTGCATTTTTATTATCTTTGTAATGTTAAATTTTACCTAAATAAAATAGTTGTTAAAAAATACATTCTTTATTATGGGATTTAAATTTAGGTATAAATATTTCAAAAAAACTATATTAAAATGGGATTAATTTTATACGTGACTCAGATTCTTAGTGATATAATGGTATATGTCCAATTATTGGAGAGGGGCTGGAAAATTGGTGAAACCGCAGTGATGAGTGGCACCTGCATTTTGTGATTGTGAGTAAAAATATGTGAGCGTGTGAAATGTCTTGTGCGGACGTGTGCGATGTGATGACATGCAAACGTAATGCTGTTGCAATGATATCATTGGCTCTTTTTCGTTTTTTCCCCTATTTTTCTTTTATTACCAAACATCTAGTCTACACATATTCAAAGCACTTCTTCAAATATTTTGGGACAGCATGGCGACGATAAAAAGTTATACAATCATTCACCGAACTTTAGCATATGTTTGAGTGAAAATTGTGAAAGTGGAGCTGGGGAGCTGATAATCATCATGTCAGAGCCCATAATCTAATATACAAAAAGCGAGTAATGTCTCACAAGATATTGACATATCACTTTTTCTCTTTTTTGAGATATCAAATTTAAAACATGTTAGAAGCCTTTAAAAACTATCCAAAACCTAATTGGGGGAATCTAATTACCACTAGTTAAAACAAAGGCCACAAAATTTGAACGTTCTTCTATTCCTTCCTCTTCCAATTTAATGCAACGGTTTGTATCCCGTCATACGTAACCCTTAATTTGAGGCTCAACTATATACAGCTTATGTTGCGATTCTGTATTTATTTATTATTATTACTTTTCATATAATATATATTTAGTTAATATCTATATTTTACATTTTAATATATATGTTTAATGTTTAATATATTATTTCATTATTTAAAATGAGTGATTTAGTTCAATATACCAAAAGAAGAAGGTATTTAGGGATTTGCCATATTTTAGGGAGGAAAAATAGTGATGGGAGAAAGGAAAGAGAAGAGAGAAATAGGGTATAGAGTTAAATAAGGTGTGCTACATAAGCTTAAACTCGTTCTCTGGAAATGTTCAAGAAATGTCTTAGCAACATGGGATAATCTATCTCGTAGGAATATCAACATCAATACCAGCTGCTTGCGATGTGGACTCCCTGATACACTTCTCCATGTTCTATTCCATTGCTCATTCGCCTCTAAGGTTTGGGAACTAGCTCCTTGGTCCATTCCGTTTGACTCCAGACAGTGCTCTTCGTTCCCTGAGGAACTCCAGCGGTCACGTCATTGGCTCACACATCCCCCCATCGGAATCACAACCAACATCTTCCCCTGGATCGCCTGGGGAATCTAGACAAACATAAACCAATTAATCTTCGAAAACAGATCATCTACTCACCAACAAGTTATTATCAAAGCCATCACATCATGTAAGGAGTGGGAAGCTGCACAGATCATTTTACCGAAGAAAACAGTGGTCAGCTCACCGCTTACTCCCCCACCAAACTGGCCGACGAATGCTACGCCGATTATCTGTTGTACTGACGCGGCTTGGAATCGGGAGAAATCGGCGGCGGGGCTAGCTTGGATCTTCATGGACCACAATATGGTCGAAATCTCCAGAGGATCAGCGTTCCAATCCTCTGTCTCTTCACCACTTATAGCGGAAGCTCTCGCCATCAGAGAAGCTCTCCTTCACGCCACCACCGCTAATTACCTCTTCATCTGGCTTCGATCAGATTCTCAAGGGCTCGTTACAGCGTTCAATTCGATCCTCCGACCGGTAGAACTCTATGGCGTTCTAGCGGATGTTGACTCGATCATCTCTTCTTCTTCGTTTTCTGTTGTTTTTTCCTTTCCTCGTCGCTCTGGTAATGGGCCTGCTGATGCCCTAGCCAAATCTATCCTTTGTATGAACCTTTAAAGAATGGGCCTCCAAGCCCATCCTATCTATTGAAGTATTTGTTGATAAAAAAAAGAGTTAAATAAGGTGTTTGTGTGTGTATGGAGTGCAAATACTCTATTTAAAATTGTGTATATACTTATTATTATTATTATTATTATTATTATTATTATTATTATTATTATTATTATTATTATTATTATTATTATTATTATTATTATTATTATTATTATTATTATTATTATTATTATTATTATTATTATTATTTGTGTATTATATATTCACCTAATATCTATAACTTACATTTTAAGATAGATTTTTAGTGCTTAGTGTAATTTTTCTATTTTATTAAATTGTTTATTTACTTATTATTATTAGTATTTTAATATATTATATATTTACATATTTAAATGTATAATATAAATGTTTAATGTAGTATTTCTATTTTTAAAATTTTATGTTTATTTATTATTTAGTTTATTTAGATTGTGTATTTCCGTTTCTTATACTTTTATATTACATAATATCTATTTTTTTTTTACATTTGAAGATAGATGTTTAATTTTAATGTAATATTTTCATTATTAAACTGTGTATTTACTAATTATTTATTTTGCTGATACTGTGTATTTCTATTTCTTATATTTTATTTTACTTAGCATCTATTTTTACACTTTAAGATAGAAGTTTAATGTTTAATGTACATTTTCCATTTTCTAAAAAAAAACTGTGTAGTTACTTATTATTATTATTTTGATAAATTATATATTTACATATTTAAATATATATATATATAGTTACTTTTTAATGTACTATATACATTTTTAAATTGTGTATTTACTTATTATGTATTTTTCCTTATATTGTGTATTTTAATTTCTTATTTTTTATTTTACTTAATAGCTATATTTTACATTTTAAGATAGGTTTTTGATGTTTAATGTACCTTTTCCATTTTTTTAAAAAATGTGTATTACTTATTATTATTATTATTTTAGTATATTATATATTTAATTAATATATATATTTACATATTTAAATGTATATTTAATTTTAATGTACTATTTTCATTTTTTTAATTATATTTACTTATTATTTATTTTTATTTATACTGTGTATTCTATTTCTTATACTTTATTTTACTTAATATCTATATTTTACATTTTAAGATAGATGTTTAATGATTAATGTATTTTTTCCATTTTTAATTGTGTATTTTCTTATTAATATTATTTTTGTATATTATATATTTATTTAATATCTATATTATACATTTTAAAATAGATGTTTAATGATTAATGCACTTTTCATTTTTCAATTTTGTATTTTTTATTAATATTGTTTTCATATATTCTATACTTAACAATATCTATATTTTGCATTTAAGTAAAGTACTTTTTCCAATTTTAAAATTATGTATTTTCTTATTATTATATATATAATTACTTTATTATATATTAAAATGTAAAAATATACATTATATTAATATTTCAAAAATGTAAAACTAAACATAGTAAGGTAATAATATTATCAATATTTTCGGATTAAATGTAAAATATTGATCTTGCATATGTTTAATGTATTATTTCAATTTCTATTGTTTTATATTTACATTTGTTTATTTTTGAAATAATATATTTCATGGTAATCTTACATATGTTTAGTGTAGTATTTTCATTTATAATGTTATATATTTACATATTCGTTATTATTTTCAAAACTATATTTATCAGTAATATTAAAATGTAAGACTATGCATTATATCAATATTTGAAAAATGTAAAACTAAATATAATAAAATAATAATATTAATGATGTCACATTGACATTTTTATAAGTGGGTTTTTACACTAATGTACATGTATTCTAGAGTCTCGGAAGGTTTCTTTTATTAGTATAGATTTAGTTTTTGGCAGTTGTTAAAAAAAAAGATTTAATTTCTGGCATACATAAAAATACATTCTGTATTATGGGATTTAAATTTAGGTATAAATATTTCAAAAAGCTATATTAAAATGGGATTAACTTTATACGTGACTCAGATTCTTAATGATATAATGGTATATGTCCAATTATTGGAGAGGGGCTGAAAATTTGGTGAAACCGCAGTGATGTGTGGCACCTGCATTTTGTGATTGTGAGTGAGTAACAAATATGTGAGCGTGTGAAATGTCTTGTGCGGACGTGTGCGATTTGATGACATGCAAACATAATGCTGTTGCAATGATTTCATTGGCTCTTTTTCGTTTTTTTCTTCCTATTTTTTTTTTTATTACCAAACATCTAGTCTACAC